CAATCGAAACGTCGCAATATGCTATTATTTAATTCATTATTTTATCTTTAGACGTGACTTAACCGAAAGAACCAAAGAATAACATCGGAGTGGCAGCCAACGGAGGGAACAAGCCCCACGAGAGCACAAAGATACCCCGTGTAGCCTTAACGGACTTCTGGGGCAAGTGCTGTTAGCGAGTAGCATCTATGAAGGTCCGCACGGTACACGAGGTGGTGGGTGGCCAGCACCACCCCCGATCACATTTGTCTCCCCAGTGGCGATGTTACAACATTGCACCAGGTACTCATTTCAGGCTGAGTCGACCTACAGGAGGCCCAGACCCATTTCAAATAATCGTCACTGCTATCGACTGTGAGCGGGAATTGAACTCGGGTTGCCGGGTTCATAGCGCAGTGCGCCAACCGCTACACTACCGCTCTCCACACACAGACACACACAGACACACACGTGTGCAGTGAATCATTCAGAGACACTATTTAGGAGGCAACGTTGATTCTACACGTTACGCAGCACCGTTTACACACGGGTCTAAATACAGCTATTCTCACCTCTTGTTACGCATAGGACCACAATACACCTATTTATCTTGCATACGGGATAACCATCATCGGGTCAGAGCAGCCAACGTGCTGCCTGACCCACGATGTCGAAGACGAGGACGTAGACGTAGCACTTGAGTTCCACTTCAGCTGCAGATAGCCCCGATCTGTGTCTCGGGGCTTCTCCTTTATTTTGGTGATTTCGAAAAGTTTTTTGGTTTGGCCATGTTTGTTTGTTGTAGTACGGAGTAAGACTGATGGCCTTAATCTAAGTTGTCTTGTGGTTGTTGTTGTTGTTGTTTGACTTGCATCCCACTGGGATTTTTGCACACAGCGTTGGTGTACGGTGCTTTTTCTGCAATATTTTGCTGTCTTTTCTTGGATTTTCTGTTTGCACTTAGTCACATTCACTTTAAGATGTTTTCTTGTTCATGTTTTGGTTTTTTTGTTTGTTGCGGTTGCACCCGATTCAAGAGCCGAATGGCTCACAGGGCTACACCTAATAAATGAGCTTGATCTTTTATCTCTCTCGGCGCGGCCTGGCTCCACCCTCGGCCACGCCCTCCGTCCAGAACATTCCCGACGGTTCCGGGCGACACCGCACCAGTTCCCTCTCTGGCTCCGCCCTTAACCACGCCTCTTCCGGGAACTCTCCAGACGTTCTAAGCCACTACCCTCCCGTGCCCCCTCGTTCACCTGTGGCCCACATTACTCACCCCGGCCCATCACGTGCTTAACCCGGTGCCGGGGTGACTCGTCCCCACATGGCCCCTACCACCAGCCCCACCCCACCCCCACCGTACTCTCCCTGTGGTCCACTCTGTGACGATTCCCTGCGGCGCTGGTGGAGGATAACCCCCTTCTCTGTTGGTAAGACTCATCAGGGTTCATCCTGCTTGCACCCAGGACCATGCCCCTAGCGGCCCACTGAATTGTACTGCACGGTGTTAACCGCCGTAATGATCCGTTTAACGTCACTACACATGCAAGCAGACGTCAGCAAATCAGAGGTGAATATCTCATGGAGTGTGTGGGTTTGTTTTCCGGCGATCTGCCCCAGACAGCGCCGTCAACAGAACGCGGCAGAGGGCGATTTTCTATTTTACAGAGCGGGAGAGGGTCGGGGGGGGTGCGGAAATGTCACTCACTCACCCGCTCCCCGTCAATCATTGAGAGGCTCTGCCACAAACATTAACCTACTCGCTCATCCACCGCTTCAACTACGCATAACACAGCTCGCTCGAATTCCACGCTCATTCACTCAAACCGCTCACTGAACCACGAGCTTGTAACTGCACCGACTCGCTCTCTCGCTCGATCAAACCACGCACTCACAAATTCACCCGCACTCACGAAATCACTTCCTCACAAATCACCTGAAGCGCAATTACTAAACTTGTCCGCACACCTACCACGCAACTAAAATTATCTATACTCACCACGAAAGAGTAGCCAAGTTCAACTAAACCATAACGCGTGAACCCCACGTACTCACCTCGATCACTCATCCAGAGTTCACAAACTCACTCATCCACTCGCAAGAATTCCACGCACTGGATCACTCAAATTCACAAACCCGCACGCTCACACCCAACCAACTCGCTTCACAAACCACCTCCCTCGCTCCCAAACAACTCAGTCGCTCATCGACTCGCTCGCTCACTCGCCCACTCGCTCGCCCGCTCGCTCGCCCACTCACTCGCTCGCCCGCTCACTCGCTCGCCCGCTCACTCGCTCGCCCGCTCACTCGCTCGCTCACTCGCCCACTCCCTCACTCGCTCGCTCACTCACTCGCCCACTCACAAACTCACCAGGCGAAGCCCTAGCCCAGTGTTCTTCACCAATTTCCACCGTGGAGTGGAAGTCACTTTCGCCGACAAGACACCGTCAGTGTTATGAAATCATTGGAGGGGGGGGGGCAGGTTTGACAAAAGCACCATGATGATGATGTGGGGCCTTCTCACTGGGGCCGCACTAAAGGTCACCAGGGGTCGTCAGTGAGACCGTGGGCCCTGCAGTGAAGAACCACGGGCCCGAGGTGGTGGATGTTGAGACTGTCAGTGGTCCTTCGCTGGCCGTCGACAAGCTGTATGGCAAGACGGTGGCATCACCACCAATGACCTCTTGACCTCGAGTGTCCACCAGCAACCCCCGCCTGTTGCCAGGAATCGCGAAATCGCACATCGCCACACCGCACGGTAGAGAGCTTGCAGCACCTCGTTTCGTTTTTATTTCCCCCGTCTCGTGATCGTCACGACAGTGAACACCGGAAAAAATCAGCCGCCAGTGGTGTACCGACAGCACAGTCCACAAACACTCGCCTATAGCGCTGCGTGTGGCCTAAACAAAAGGAATAAGCGACGTTCCAGGCAATAGCCCTTCTTCAGAGCACATTAAAATATATATTACGCGCTACGAAGGCGGCCCATTGGACAAGTTGACAACGCTGCACGAGCCTGTTGATTGCGAGAAAAACAGTTGTTTGCGTGCTATCAAGGGCCATTGCCCGAAACGTCACCAATTATATTTCTAGTTTCGCTATTAAGGCCACACAAGTGGTAATGAGAACGGTGGCGAGGAGGTTGGTTAACGTGGTGCGCGGGGGGGGGGGTTCAGTGTTGGGGAATTACACAGATCGGGGTGGGTGGTTGGGGGGGGTGATTGTGAATACTTCAGACCTCGCGAGCCACCCTAGTCGAAACACCGAGCATTCACACGCTGCACGCACCTGATGATTGCTAAACAGCAGCCTCAAGGCGGGGGGGAAAGGCGGGGGGAGCGTGCTGGCTCCAATCCCATGAAGGGTCTTTCTCCGTTCCGAGGCACACACAGTGGTTTACACCACGCTGCACGAGCCTGATGATGGAGAAACTACAGCCCCTCACGGCGACGTGGATTCAGTGAGAGATCCCTGCGTGTCTGTGTTTGCTTTGTTTGTGTTCATTGCGTGTTGGGGGAGCGGTAGTGTTGCGGTTAAGAGCGCAGCGCTACGAACCCGGCGACTCGAGTTTGATTCCCGCTCATGGCACACACGTAAGTGACAATGATCTGAACTGGTCCTGGGGCTCCCCTAGGTCGACTCGGCCTCAAATGAGTAGCTGGTGCGGTGCGCAAACATCGCTAGTAGGGATACAAAGGCGGCCGGGCGTGGTACTGGCCACCTACCCCCTCGCGTACCTATCCCAGCCTTCGTAGATTCGTGAACAGCACTTTCCCCAACAGTCTTACGAGGCTATACGGGGAATCTTTGTTTTTTGTGTGTACACCACGCGTGACAAAAAAGATCACCCGGCTTCAGCTGGTGGGGGAAAATGCCGTTGGCGAGTACCTATGGAGGCGGACACCACACCCGACCGCCTTTGTCTCCCCGATGCCAAATCGACCGAGAGAAGCAGCACAGGACAGTTGAAAATCGTCGACGCCGATGTGGCCTGGCCATTTCAGGGAGTCGAACCCAGGCCTGTGGTCGGGTGAGCAGCAGTGCGCCGACCACTCCGCCACCGCTCCACCCATGCACACGTGACACACACGTGACACACACACACCTCCATTAATATTTAAAGTCTCCCTCCGCACATCACGTGGAACTACTGGTTTACTCATCATCGGGCGCGTGCAGCTCGTAACTCACTCGGCATTACTAAACACGTGCACAGCGGTGAGTTTGCGAACCCCTATTAACGTCTACATTTATTTACTTGATTTGTTTAAAAAGACACGGGCGCGGCCCTGCAATCGCTCACTCACGTCGAGAGAGAGAGAGAGCCACCTCTTACGAGGCGGGAGGGGGGGGTGTTTTGGTCTCCTCTTCCACACTGTGGCCCAGGACGTATTGGGGGACAGGCGAGGGGTGGGGGGAGCAGCCTTCATTTCAGCTGGGAGCTGTCCGGTGCTGAGATTCAAACAAACCAAAAACACATCCCATGACAAGTGGAACCCCTGGCCGGGTTCAGCACCCACACTTCACCCCACCACGCGTGACCTCACCCCCCCCCCCCCCCCCCACTGCTCGACTTCACTGTGGCGCAACCATTAATATTGCTGTGTGCACAGAGGGAGATGGGGGGGGGGTAGGTGGGAGGGGGTTGAGGAGGAGGGAGGGTGAGGAGGAGTGGGGGAGAGGAGGGAGGGGGGGGTGAGGAGGAGTGGGGGGAGAGGGAGGGGGGAGGGAGTGAGGGTGAAGAGTGGGGGAGAGGCAGGAGGGAGAGGGAGGGGGGTGAGGAGGAGTGGGGGAGAGGAGGGAGGGGGGGGTGAGGAGGAGTGGGGGAGAGGCAGGAGGGAGGAGGGAGTGAGGAGGAGTGGGGGGAGAGGGAGGGGGGAGGGAGTGAGGGTGAAGAGTGGGGGAGAGGCAGGAGGGAGAGGGAGGGGGGTGAGGAGGAGTGGGGGAGAGGAGGGTGGGGGGGGTGAGGAGGAGTGGGGGAGAGGAGGGAGGGGGGGTGAGGAGGAGTGGGGGGGGGGGAGGAGGGAGGGGGGAGGGGTGAGGAGGAGTGGGGGAGAGGCAGGAGGCAGGGGGGGGGGGTGAGAAGGGAGGCAGGAGGTGGTCTAATCGAATCGAACCGACCGACCTCTGGATTGCAAGTTCCAGTGCGTTAGCCATCACAGCAGCCGACCCAGACACACGCACACGCGAGTGAGCAGGTGGCGGTGGTGTGATGTAACAGAGACGCACGCTGGGAATGACACCACAGAGCCAGAGAGAGGGGGGGGGACGCGTGGATTGGACAACACACACACACCGAGCTATCGGTCTACCAACAGGTTTAGAGTCGGCGTGATTCCCTGTTCGAAAGAGTATCTGGGGGTGGAATTTCCACGTTTCTATGGCAGGGGAGAGTCCATCCATAGAAGAGAACCGTTTAGCGATTTCCCCACAAAGCGGCTCTCATTGTATCGATTCTGCAGGAATGGACTGCTTCAGGAGCTCCCCCCACCGCCCCCCCCACCTCCACCCCCCCCACCACCATTGCCCCCCCACACCTCCATTCCTCCCCCCCGCCAACCAGGATTTGAACTCGTGACCTCATTCTATGACCGCCAAACCACACACCTATATTTCACACAATTACCGTGCCCTACATTGCAATACAGGGGTACAATGGAAGAGTGTTCGCATACGACGGGCGTGCATGCCTTGTACCCCGAGTGGTAGTGCCTTACGCTGACGATCCCTAACCCAGAGCCAGCCGAGCAGCTGTACAAAGCAAAAATAATCGATTAGCCCACAGACGACACAAACCCCTCGCTTCCCAGAGCCAAGGGTGTCCGACCTCAGAGAGCAACAGAGCAAACAACCCAGGACAGATGAAGAATGTCTCCATAGTGGAAGAGGTGGTGGTGGTGGTGGGGGGGGGGGGGGGGGAGTTAAAAAGCGAAGAGATGTTTCTCAACCGGAGTAGTCCTTGGGCCGAGCTCCGAAAAATAATCGCTTACCGTCGCCGAGTCTCAAAAACCGCTCGCGACGCGCAACAGCGTAGGAGACGAAGATGTTCGATCGCGGGTTTTTGTTGCGGTAGTCGCGTGCGTGAGTGCGCGAGTGTGCACGTCATCTGCACGTCATCCGCGCGCAAACGCTCTGCGTGATACGCTGCGGCCACTCTCATTAACCGCGACGTGGCAAAGCAACAGAACGAACCGAGCGAAAAGTTTCACCCAACGGACACAAGTGATACAAAATCGCAGAGCCCGAACATCTCGTCCAATCGCGATTGGTCCCCCTCTCCTCCCGCCCCCTCACCCCCGGGAAGGTATCCTGGAAGAACGCGATGACCGCAAGCCCCGAGCAAAACTCGCGCCGCCGTTGGGGTCTGCGATTTGAGCCACTCGCGCCCGACTCGGACCACCAACGTTCCACGAGTTAAAATGGGGACACAACCCTCGCGTTGTTTGTAAAGACGGCCGCGCGGCTAGCTGATGCATTTGTTTTGTTATCGTTAACGTTTGACCGCTGTTGTCGTTGCTGCTGTTATTGTTGTTGTTGTCGGAACAGATTTGCTCGACACTTCATTCGAAGCTCGCACTTTCCCAGCCGTTGAACTTAGCCCTCTAAAAAACAACAACAACAACACGGGCTGCTGCTGCTGCTGATGCCTTCAGGGCAGATTCAACGCTTGCGGTTATTAGAGGGTTTTCGCCACAAGGCACCTCCTCCACTCCCCATAGTTCACACGATAGGAGCGAAGTTGCTCTGGGAGGAAAAAAAAAGATCATTACCCAAGATCTCTACTGGGTGGGGGGCAGGCAAGCGATCGCCACCTCGAAATCCGGTCGGCCAATCACGGCAAATTTGGACGACGGTGGTGCCGACTAAAACTCCACAATAACCCACAAATATCCACGCACGCTTGCATATCCGACGCTAAGCTAGCCCACGCAATGCTGGGATCCCCGATGGTTTAGAAAAGAAAATCTCTCTGCAGACGGTTGTACAATTTACAAATCGTGAATTGGCTTTCATCGTCCGCTCAAACTCTGCCCACGTCCAGCAAGTGCTGACGAAACGGCACCGCACCACCCAGCACCATCCGGGCGATTTGCTGGGCGATGAGATCGAGTGTTGTGGCTTATCGGGATTTTTCCAGGACACCTCTCAATTCATCACGAATAAATGACACGAGCGCTAGCGGGGCAAGCGTGCGAGTGGTTGGGCAAGCGGGCGAGTGGGCGAGTGGTAGAGTGAGTGTGCAAGTGGGCGAATGGATGAGTGGGCGAATGGGTGAGTGGGCGAATGGGTGAGTGAGTGAGTGAGTGGGCAACCATAAACCTCTCCCCCCCCCCCCACAGACACACTGTTGTCGTCTCCATTACTCTCAAAAGCCCCCCCCCCTCCCTCCCCCGACCGCGTGCCATCTCGGGTCGTTCCGCGAGTTCTATACGGCTGGCTCGCTCGCCGCTGGCTCCGGCTCCTGGCTTGCTCGCGTGCTCCGTTTGGTCACTTGGCCGAGTGTTGACCTTGACCTAGAGCTTCGCTTGCTCTTTGATCTGCTCATCCGCTCGCTCGCCAGTCCGCTCGCTCCTCGTCGCGTTTGCTCGTCCCGCCGGCTCGCTGGTCTGCTCCTCTAACCTCACTCATCGGTCTCGCCGGCTCGCTCGATCGGCTTGCCCGCTTTAATCACGCGTCGGCAATATCAGCTCGATTTGTTGGCTGGCTCAATCACTCATTCGCTCGCTCGACCGCTCGCTCTTCTGCCTGCTGGCCCGTCGGTCTTCGTCTCCCCTCGCTTCCTCGCTCGCTCGTTCGCCGGCCAGCCCCCGGTGTGGTGGTGGCGGCGGCGTCGGCGGTGTAGCGGCGTGGCGGCCGGCGCCCCTAGCAGCACGACGAGGATTTGCCGCTGCGGTTGAGCCTCCCGCTGCCCCCGGCCCCCTGCGCGTCGCTGCTGCTGCCCTCGAGCGACACCGTGTCCGTGTCGTCACGCTCCGTGCCCAGCAGGTGCTCGTTGCTGAGCACGTGGCCCACGAGGAAGCGTGCCGCCTCGTCGATGTTCTTGTTCTCCTGGTCGCGCGCACGCACACACACACACACGCACACACACACGCACACACACAAAAAACAACGGTCCCCCAGTATTAGCCTTGAAGGGGCTGCTGGGGCAAGTGCAAGTGTTAGTGAGCACCAATGAAGGTCGGGACGACACACGAGGGGGTGGGTGGCCACCACCACCATCACCACACCCGACCGCCTTTGCCTCCTGATTGGTGATGTTTACTACACACCGCACCAGGTAATAATTTGAGGCAGAGTTGACCTAGGAGAGGCCTAGGACCGGTTCAAATAATCGTCACCGTGTTGGCCGTGAACGGGAATCGAACTCGCCGGATTCGCAGCACAGCGCACTAACTGCTACACCACCGCTCCCCACACAGACACACACACGTGCAGATCAGCAACCATTGACCGCCCCCTCCTTCCAACACCAGGCAGGACCCTCATGGCAAACAGAGCCACGAGACTCTGCGAGGAGGTTCTCCTGGGTGATCAGGCGTGATCTTAGCGCCAACAACAACAACGACCACCATGGAAATAGTTCCACAGCGGAGGTGCCGACCACCGACGCTCGTTTACACAAAAGTACCGGGCGCCGAGAATCACCTGCTCGGGAGTTACCGTGACCACAGGTCACCCCCAGTCACTCAAGTCACTCCAGTCGATCACCCCAGGGGTCACAGGACAGACGGAGCGGGTTTGTCGACGCTTAGTTGGGTTAGAAACCCCGCCGTGGGAGAGCAGGGAGAAGAGACGTGGGGAGATGTGGGAGGGGGAATGGGGGGGGGGGGGGGGAGTAATGGGGGGCGCGTTCTCTCCAATATTCCATGCCAGTTCCAAAATTGGAACGTTTGTCACCCGTGGCAATTTTCAAAAACGCTCTTTAGATCAATCAACTGGAAAACACTCGAGATGTGGGGAGAATGCGGGGGGGTGGGGGGGGGGGGAGACGGCAGAGAAACATTCGTCCCGGCTAAAAATAATTCCGGTAATTGGACCGTAAGTGCGGGTTCCGAGATAAATAGACGGCAGAGACGATGTGCAAGCTCGCTCTCGTGTGCGGTGGGGTAAGGTTCGGGGTTGTACGTCACCGATAACCAAATCGCGGTTCCCAGATGTGCACGACGAGAATGTTGTCCACTGCAAGAAAGAGTTGCGCAACTGCTCACAACCGGTTGCGGACACGTGCACATCGGAGCGATTCAGTTGCGTGCAACACTCGCGCAAATGCTCACAACCGGTTGCAGATACGTCCACTCTGCGAGCCAGAGACTTGCATAGAGACCCAATTGATTACAAAGAGATCCATAGACTCGGAGACACCGACTTACATTAGAAAAAGAGTTACGGTCCCAGCTACTTAAGTGACCCATAAACTTAAGAGTGTTGTCGAATTAGCGGATTAATCGAATCAGTTGCATTATCGTTTATAGAAACAATTTATATTTATTTTTCCCAGGTAGGGTCCCACCAAGGGATGTAGCTCTTTTTAAATCCTTTATATTAAGTTCACTTGCTTGCTTGCGTGCTTGCTTCCTTGCTTACGACCGTGCAAACCTTTTGGTCGTTTTTTAACCCACTTCCCGTGATCCAATCGAGCTGACATTTTGCACAGACTCGTTGTGCGAGACAATTAATGTTCGTGAAATTTTTTTTCCAAAATTTTACACTGTTTAAGGAAAACAAATTAAATATTTAATTACCAATTGCTTAATACTGGCAGACAATCATCTGACCCATAGGTGGCAGCCATCTCAAGCCAGAGGACGAGAGGACTCTAGCCGCCACGCATATAAAGGATTTATAGTGAAAAACTGTTTTTACGGGTTAATTTTTTTCAGATGCAACCTGGCCACACAAATGATAGCCCAACGAAATGGCTGATCTTGGTGGAAAATTTATAGCAGCCAAATACTCGAAATCGCAAGTTTCTAAAATGTGGAGCGAAAAACCGGAGGACCCAGAAACAAATCGATGGAACGGCGGGGAGAGAGACACGCAAATTCAAAATATACAGCAGCAGGCGTCAGGGTCGGGATCGAACCCACGACCTCCTGTATACCAGGCGAGGTAGTCAACATCTCCTAGCCACTGGTGGCAGACCGAGTGTTGTTGTTTTGGCTCCCTCGCCGGTGACCTCGAGGCAGAATTCTGGTTAAGGGGAGGGGGGAGGAGCTTAAAATCTTGTCTCCTGGATTTCCTCTTCACTTGATACAGTAAATCTGGCTGTGACTGTCCCACCTGAAGACGGAGACTTGTGTTGCCTCCGAAACGTCGTGATTTAATAGAGTTATTTTCATGTATTATTATTTTATTATTATTATTATTTTACCTACGTGACTTTACTGAAAAAAACCTAAGAGTATGTTTGTCCTTTTGTTCGGTTAGATTTGCGTAAAATATAAATGCGTCGTTTAACCCTCCACCACCCGACCCCACAGCTAATCAAGTCAGGTTTTGGTCATGTAAACAGAACGTTGCCGTTTGGTTCTTTCGGTAAAGTCACGCAGAAAAATTATTATAGATCACGAAGTTTCGATCGCCACACAAGCGATCGTCCTCTATCCCACCCGAGGACGATCGCTTTGTGTGGCGAGAGGTATTCCTCGATTCATCGATTAGCATCGAATCACGATTCTAGAACAGCGATTACAGTGTCACGGGATAGTTGTAGCAATTGGCGGGATGGGTGGAGGAGGTTTCTCAAATCCACCCCCCCCCCCCCGCTTCTCTCCACGCAGCAGCAGCATCTCGCAGTGGCTAGAAGATGTTAACTACCTCGCCTGGTACACAGGAGGTCGTGGGTTCGATCACAACCCTGACGCATGCTGCTGTATATTTGGAGTTCGTGTGTGTCTCCCTCATCATCATCACGGTGGCTAGGAGATGTTTACTACCTCGCCTGGTCTACAGGAGGTCGTAGGTTCGATCCCGACCCTGACGCCTGCTGCTGTATATTTGGAGTTCGTGTGTCTCCCTCATCATCATCATCATCACGGTGGCTAGGAAATGTTAACTACCTCGCCTGGTAAGCAGGAGGTCTCGTGGGTTCGATCCCGACCCTGACGCCTGCTGTATATTTGGACTACTTCAGTAGTTTTTTTCTTGCTGTGCTTGTGTCCCACCTGACGACGATTGCTTGCGTTGCGATCGAAACGTCGTGATCTAGTATTATTTTTCATTCAGACGCTGTCTCCCCGACAGACCTGGTTTTCACCTGAGGACGGCTGCTTGCGTTGTGGCCGAAACGTGGAGAATTATTTTATTATGTTTTATTTTTATTATTTTATTACTTCCCTTCTACATGACTTTACTGAAAGAACCAAGAAGATTTACCGAAAGAACCAAAGAGTATGGATTCCTGCAAGTCACGAAAGCTTCAAATCAAGATTAAACAGAACGTGCCAATTGGGCGACTACTTCAGTACAGCCGGTGTGCATTGGGAGAGTAAACACACTGCAACGTTTGCAATCAACGACACGTTCATGTTTACGTAATAGAACCCCTAATAAAAAATTAACCTGTAAAAACAAAGTTTTTCACTATAAATCCTTTATATGCGTGTTCAATGGGCCACAACCCAGCCTACATTGGTCTTTGAAACGAGCGGCTAGAGTCCTCTCGTCCTCTGGCTTGAGATGGCTGCCACCTATGGGTCAGATGATTGTCTGCCAGCATTAAGCAATTGGTAATTAAATATTTTAAAAAAATTCCCTAAAGAGTGTAAAATTTTGGACATTTTTTTTCACGAAAATAAATTGTCACGCACAACGAGTCTGTGTGCAAAATGTCAGCTCGATTGGATCACGGGAAGTGGGTTAAAAAACGACCGAAAGATTTGCACGGTCATAAGCAAGCAAGCAAGCACGCAAGCGAACTTAATATAAAGGATTTAAAAACCCTCTATTATGGATAATATTGGTCGCGAAAGGCTCCTGCTACGACTACCACAACGTCTCAAACTCGCGGTTGTTTTGTAATCTGGCTTCCACTTGGTTCTAAAAAAAAACACGGAGCACGAAACCTTGCAAAGTGCGACTTCGGGATTAGACGGCGGGGGGGACCGGGTCTCCGTCCTCCACAGCAAAAAAAACCACAGCGCTGACGACGCGTTTCTCAACACCCTCGGCCACCACCACAACCACCAAAGACAAAGACCCCCCGTATAGCCTTAACAGACTGTAGGGGCAAGTGCTGTTAACCAGCACCTATGAACGCCGGAACGGTACACGAGGGAGTGGGTGGCCAGCATCACGCCCGATCGCCTTTGTCTCCCTAATGGTGATGTTTACACACCGCACCGGGTATTCATTTGAGGCTGAGTAGACCTAGGGGAGGCCCAGGACCGGTTCAGATAATCGTCACTGGTGTTGGCCGTGAGCGGGAATCGAACCCGGGTCGCTGGGTTCATAGCGCAGCGCAAGAACCACTACACCACCACTCCCCACAACCGCCACCTCGTGTGTGATGGGAGATAAAGGGCGCCCCTGTGGCGTGCGACACTGCCGCCGTCTGCGCTCCATCTAGCCGGATCGCGCCATGCGACGCTTTTCCCAAGTGAAGTTAAAGGTGTGCATCGAGTCATAAAAAAAACACACGTGGAGCTGGGGGGGGGGGGATTTTCGCAGACGACCATCATGACTCGTGGGTTTCGGCTGGGTTTATTGTTGTTGGTGGTGGCGGCGGGGTTTTTTTTTCCGTCGTGTGTAAAATTGAGAAAAATAAATTAACATTTTTATCAAAGTGTTGTGAAGCCCCTCCACCCCCTCCAGCTGATAAACCAGTCAAGAAACACGTGGCAGGGTCACGAGGTGTCTCTGCAAAACACACCGGCGGCGGCAGGACTGAAGCAGCAACAAGTTGGCACACGTTTGGTCGACGCGACGTTTTTACCTAGTTGCTCTGGTTGGGTGGAGGAGGATGGACGACACACATCTTATCCAAACCCAAAACAATTAATTACGAATCACTGTCTTGCTCATTTGTCAAGCGCTTTCCCGTTCTGTAACGCAGTCGTTTGGCGCTCCCTCCCCATTTCGGTCGTTTCAGCACCGATTTCAATTAAATTCGTTGCTGTTAATCGATTGTAAATAAATACAAATAAACTTCCGATTCTGATATTGGATTGTGTCCTTTTGGTGCTGACGACACGAGCATCCTGGCCTCCTGAGTTTTCACCTTGGCTAAACAAAGTCCAACGTAAATCATTACAAGCCTTTTGTCTTCCAATGACTATACTGCCGATGACTCTACTCTCCAGATTATAAAGACGCTTGAAAAGGCGGCGAGACGTACCCCATACGTGTGCCCAGTGTCAATAAAGTCACACGAATCTGCTCGCAAACAAAGATGCACGCACATTCACACATGTATGCCAGACAAAGACCCCCCCCCCCCCCCCCCCGTGTAGCCTCTAATAGACTGTTGGGGCAAGTGCTGCTACCGAGTAGCAACTATGAAGGCGGGCACGGCACACGAGGGGGTAGGTGGCCAGCACCACGCCCGGCCGCCTTTGTCTCCCTAGTGGCGATGTTTACACACCGCACAAGCTACTCATTTAAGTCCGAGTTGACCTAGGGGAGGCCCAGAACCGGTTCAGATAATCGTCACCGGTGTTGGCCGCGAGCGGGAATCGAACTCGGGTCACCGGGTCCGAAGCGAGGCGTAGCGCTAACCGCTGCACCACCGCTCCCCACACACCAAGACAAAGACAAAGATCCTCCATATTGCCTTAACAGACTGTAGGGGCAAGTGCTGTTAGCGAGCACCTATGAAGGCCGCAACGGTACACGAGGGGGTGGGTGGCCAGCACCACGCCCGACCGCCTTTGTCTCCCCAGTGGTGATGTTTACACACCACACCAGGTACTAATTTCAGGCCGAGTCGACATAGGGGAGGCCCAGGACCGGTTCGGATAATCGTCACTGGTGTTGGCCGTGAGCGGGAATCGAACCCGGGTCGCTAGGTTCATAGTGCAGCGCGCTAACCGCTGCACCACCGCTCCCCACACACCGAGACACGTTACACACGTCACACACGCACCTTGGCGGAGGTGTGGAACCAGCCGGTGAAGCCGTGCTCCTTGCAGAAGGCGTCGAGCTGCGGCGCGGCGGCGCCATCGGGCGCCTGGTCGCTCTTGTTGGCGAGCAGCACCGCGGGGATGGGGCCGCCGTTACTCAGCATCACCTTGGCGTCGAGGTCGCTCTTCCACTTGGCCACGGCCTCGAACGTGGAGCTGCGCGTCACGTCGAACACCACGAAGGCACCCACCGCCTCCTTGTAGTAGACGCGGGTCATGTTGCCGAACCGCTCCTGGCCTGCGCCCGTGCCCGCGCATGGAGGGAAGAGTGGGTGTCAGTCGCGGAGAGTCGGGGGTCAGAGAGCATGAGGGTCACGGAGGGAGGGTGTCAGTCACGGGGAGTCGGGGTCAGAGAGCATGAGGGTCACGGAGGGATGGTGTCAGTCACGGAGAGTCGTGGTCAGAGAGCATGAGGGTCACGGAGGGTCGGTGGGTGTTGGTCATTGGGGTCACGGAGGGAGGGTGTCAGTCACGGAGGGTCGCGGAAAGTCGGGGTCAGAGAGCATGAGGTCACGGAGGGATGGTGGGTGTTGGTCATTGGGGTCACGGAGAGAGGGTGTCAGTCACGGAGAGTCGCGGAGAGTCGGGGTCAGAGAGCATGAGGGTCACGGAGGGTCACGGAGGGAGGGTGGGTGTCGGTCTCGGAGGTCAGGGTCAGAGCATGAAGGCCATGGAGGGCCAGGAGGGCGTCGGTCACAGCGGGTCACGGAGGGTTAGTAAGGATCAGGGAGGGTCAGAGGTCAGGGTCATGGAGGTCAGGAAGCCAAGCGAGGTAACAGAGGCACGGAGGAGCTGGACGCCAACGCTGGCCGGAACGACCATCGATATTGTCATCGGTCAAGGTCGAGAGGTCATCACAGAGCCCCGTCGACGTCACCAGCGGACGTGCTGACGCCCGCCACGAGGTTCTCCACCCCGAGCCAGGCCGCGCCTCCCAGAGGCAGAGGGAATCCCGCGACAGGCCAGTGGGGCCCCTGGGTATTGTGGCTCATCTGTCGATTGTCAGCTTTCTACGATCGGCCCATAAATAGATTTGCCCCAATAGACACCACGGGGATTTTTTTTTTTATTTCTTATGTACACCCCATTTAGGTTTGGGCAGCATTTTCGATTTTGCACGCCATGCAGTTTGTTTCGGCCTCCGATTTGCGGCCTCCGATTGCTTCATCGCTGCTATTAGTTTTTTTTACGGGATCCCACGGCTTTACACGCGGTAGTCGTCGTAGTAGATACGTTCCAAAAAAAAGTTCGCACCAAGCGAACGCGCACCGATATTGAGACACTGCCCCGGGTAATCATTTGAGGCCGAGTTGACCTAGGGGGAGGCTCAGCACCAGTTCAGAAGATCGTCAGGCTCGAAGCGCAGTGCGCTAAATGCTAAACTAACCCCTCCACACAACAAAGACAAATATCCCCCGCATAGCCTGCACAGACTGTTGGGTAAGTGCTATTAGCGAGTAGCACCTAGTAAGGCCGGCACAGCACACGAGGGGGTGGGGGGGCTACATCACGCCCGGCCGCCTTTGTCTCCCCAGTGGCGATGTTTACGCACCGCACCAGGTACTCATTTGAGGCAGAGTCGACCTAGGGGAGGCCCAGGACCGCTTAAAGATAATCGTCACCGGTGTTGGCCGTGAGCGGGAATCGAACTCGGGTCGCCGGGTTCGTAGCGCAGCGCAAGAACCGCTACTACACTACCGCTCCCCACACACACACCACCACACGCATCCATAAAAACACACCCAACCACACCCATATAAACACTCCGGAAACTTGCGCAATTACCAACACACGCACACACAGACCACCACTACCACACACAATCTCCCACATTTTACACACAAATATCCCCCATAAAGCTTTAACCGACTCTTAGGGCAAGTGTTGTCAGCGAGCAGCACCTATAGAACCCGGCACGGCGAGCAAGCGGGTACTGGTGTGGCCGGGTCACCACACCCCACGCCCGCCAGCCCGGCCGTCTTTGTATCCCCAGCGCTGAAGTTGACACCGCACCAAGGTACTGTGCTCATTTTCAAGGCCGAGTCAACCTAGGCGAGGGCCCCGAATGCGTTCAGCACATCACTCGCCACTGACGTTGGCCGTGCTCTGGAATAGATCACGGGTCGCCTGGTGGGGCGGAGGGGGGGGGGTCCATAGCGCTAACCACTGCGCCACCGCTCCCCCGCACGCTCGGGCAGGAAGTGTAAATGGGAAGCGGGGGGGGGGGGTGACGGTTGGGGCACGGGGCGAGTCACGAGACTCGGAGCCCGCACACTCAGAGGGGGGTGGGGTGGGAGGGTGGGTGGGGGATTAGGGGGGGTAGAAGGAGGGGTAGGAGTGGGGTGGGTGGGGGGGGTGGGGGGAGGGAGGGAGGGTAAGTGGGGGGTGTAGGAGGGAGGGTAAGTGGGGGGGGGTAGGAGGGAGGGTAAGTGGGGGGGGGGGTAGGAAGGAGGGTAAGTGGGGGGGTAGGAGGGAGGGTGGGTGACTGGGGGGTAGGAGGGAGGGTGGGTGACTGGGGGGTAGGAGGGTGGGTGGGTGGGTGGAGGGTAGGAGGGAGGGTGGGTGGAGGGTAGGAGGGAGGGTGGGTGGGTGGAGGGTAGGAGGGTGGGTGGGTGGGTGGAGGGTAGGAGGGTGGGTGGGTTGGTGGAGGGTAGGAGGGTGGGTGGGTGGGTGGAGGGTAGGAGGGTGGGTGGGTGGGTGGAGGGTGGGTGGGTGGGTGGAGGGTAGGAGGGTAGGAGGGTGGGTGGGTGGGTGGAGGGTAGGAGGGTGGGTGGGTGGGTGGAGGGTAGGAGGGTGGGTGGGTGGGTGGAGGGTAGGAGGGTGGGTGGGTGGGTGGAGGGTAGGAGGGTGGGTGGGTGGGTGGGTGGAGGGTAGGAGGGTGGGTGGGTGGGTGGGTGGAGGGTAGGAGGGTGGGTGGGTGGGTTGAGGGTAGGAGGGTGGGTGGGTGGGTGGAGGGTAGGAGGGTGGGTGGGTGGGTGGAGGGTAGGAGGGTGGGTGGGTGGGTGGAGGGTAGGAGGGTGGGTGGGTAGGTGGAGGGTAGGAGGGTGGGTGGGTGGGGGTAGGAGGGAGGTAGGAGGGAGGGTGGGTAGGTAGGAGGGAGGGAGGGTAGGAGGGTGGGTGGGTGGGTGGGTGGGTGGAGGGTAGGAGGGTGGGTGGGTGGGTGGAGGGTAGGAGGGTGGGTGGGTGGGTGGAGGGTAGGAGGGTGGGTGGGTGGGTGGAGGGTAGGAGGGTGGGTGGGTGGGTGGGTGGGTGGGTGGGTGGAGGGTAGGAGGGTGGGTGGGTGGGTGGAGGGTAGGAGGGTGGGTGGGTGGAGGGTAGGAGGGTGGGTGGAGGGTAGGAGGGTGGGTGGGTGGGTGGAGGGTAGGAGGGTGGGTGGGTGGGTGGAGGGTAGGAGGGTGGGTGGGTGTAGGAGGGAGGTAGGAGGGAGGGAGGGTAGGAGGGGAGGGTCCCTCCTTCCAAAGTCATCGCTCACTGCTCAGTCAACACAGCAAGCGCCACTAAGACCCCCCCCCCCCATCCACGCCGCGTGACCCACACAGCCGTCCCTGGGCAAAGTGCTGGGTTGTTGCCGTCCGCACCACCGATGGAACCAGCATTAAAAATCGGTGCTCGTTCAGGGTTACGGTGCAGGACTTGCCTCAACATCCATCCACAAAGACAAAGATTCCCCCCGTATAGCATTAACAGACTGTTGGGGCAAGTGCTGTTCTAGCGAGTAGCGCCCAAGTAGGTCGGCACGGCACACGAGGCGGTGGGTGGCCAGCACCACGCCCGGCCGCCTTTGTCTCCCAGGTGCTGATGATAAACAGCACCAGGTCATTCATTTGCAACCGAGGCTCCCTCGGGGAGGCCCAAAATCAAACAGCCGCCGATCGCCACATAGTGGCGGTGACGTCACCACCGCACTCGTGCCAGGCTAGGTGCAGAAGGCTCACTGCTGGCAGGCTACGTTGACAGACCCAGGTGCATTTGGTTGACCGAGATGCACCAGCTGCGCTCTCCACTGCGCCAGCCTGCTGCGTTTTAGCTGCCCGGCGCGCCGCTCGTTGCTGTGAGTGTCGCTCCTCTGCCCTCCGCTGTTGCTGGAGGGCGAATGCCTCCAACTGCCCAGGAGCAGCGTTCTTCGCGAGCCTCCTCCTCCACAGAGGCCGATATTGACACCGCTGGTACCAGTCATCGGCAATTCCACTCAGCTCCACATCCCTCCTGTATCACATCAGTCCATCTTTTATCCAGCCCGTGCCGCGCCCGCTTATCCCCCTCTATCCAGCCAAACAGTACTGTGCCCTGCTTTGTCATGCGGTGGCTGGGCATACCGACTGCATGACCCAGCCAACGCAGCCTCGCCTGCCAGAGGAGCCCATTGAACGAGACCGCGTCAAGATCTTTCAGGGATCTGCGAGCTCCTTAAACAATCCAGGCTGGATCCCAGGAGGCAGGCCAGCATCAACGTTTAAAGCCGACGCAGATGTGCTGTTAAAATGGCTCCACGTTTCGCAAAGCACACACACGCACACACGCGCATACCAGCGCACACACGCACGCACTGCCATGTGACGTGCAAACACACGCCGAGGCATGTGACATGCGCATGGACACGCACACACGCGCGCACATTCACACACAACATTGTCCAAGTGAAACCCACTGAGCAGATCAGAAACGAAACGAGACCTATAAACGACTCCCATTATAATCCGAGTAGAAGGCAGGCATCAACGGAATTTACATTCGAATTGCCCCAGTGGTAGATCAAGCAATGCGCATCCCCCATTTGAGTTCTGGTATCGTATTTCATCTTAACATGTTCCAATGCCACCACCTCCTTAACCTCCTTCCGTTCCGCTCTCTTAAAGCATCACCACCTCTTCTCCATCGCCCATTCCCTCCCCCCCTCCACTCCCTTCCCTCCCCTCCCCGTTCCGTGATCCCCTAAGTTACCCCTCTGTCGCTGTCACTCATTCCTCAATACCTCGTAGCGCGCCCCTGCCAACTCGTCCCATTCTGTGTCACCGTTGTGTAAGCTACGTCATCAAGAGCCTTGGGTGAAGGCGCTCTCTATAAATATACAATTCGATTAGATGTACAGCCTTTTATCAATCCACTGCTGGATCAAGGCTTCCCCTATGCTTTGTCGGTCTTGGAGTGGGGGGCAGAGGGCAGGGGTGGGTTAGACCATACTTCACCACGCTGGGCTGCGTGCGTTGGTGAAGGAGCGACCCGCGATGGGCCACTTGA